CCGAGTCATTCCACGGACGGCGATCGGCGAGAGAGGAGGCTGCTGCTGCACACCGCTCCGGCGATTTTATTTATTTATATTTATTTATTTTTTTATTTATATCAGTATTCCGAATTGTGAAATCAAAGTGACTCTAGAATTAAGTGATCAGTGCTGTGTAAATCTTAAATCAATAAAGTGAAGATTGGTGAAAGTTCAAATGCAGTGTATTAGTTAACAATCTCCTTTTACAGCTGACGCCGTCCTGTTTTGTCTCCTTGTCTCGGGTCCGGTCTGGCGATGGGGCCTCCTTCCCTTACACGCGACTTTGCTCTGCACGACACACGGGCCGTCTCGATACACAGAGGAATCTGGCTGGCTTCTCAGTGCAATCCTCCCTTAACCCATTTCGTTCCTTTTTTATCTCCTTATTTATATCCGTACTGTTGATTTTATCATGTGAAGGTGACGTATATGGAATTTATGTGTAACTTTTTTTTTTTTTTACTGCATTTGTTTGCTGGGAAAGGGTTACCGTGTGAACACTCTGTTACAGCCATCCTGAAGCGGTGCAATTCGCTGGAAGGTTGAGTCCCCCGACCCGGCCCCGCCCCAGGTCTACCCCCCAGGTCTACTCCCCTCGGTTTTCTCCTCCCGCGAGACGGTGGTACTCTGGTATCGACTTACCTTATGTAGAATCTGTGTATTAATCTTGCGAAGTAGGGTTTGCGTTCGGTTACAACCAGTGGTCACGTGATGGAGTAGTGAGCTCAGGCCATATTCACGTAACTTTGGATAGTTAATACAAGTGTAAGCTTTTCTTGTGTTGGTTCATTTGTTCAAGTGATCATCTTTAAATGTAAAAGAATTAGGGATTCACTCATTTCAGTCATCATGCAAAGTTATCCATTCCATTTGTAGCTCCTCCATTGTTCCTGATTTCTCCCAACCACGGCACCCTTCTTACACTTTCTCTCATCCCATGGGCTGTGTCCATCCCGAGGATTGGTGTGGTGGTGACCCGGTGGCGTCCAGCGATGTCTGCTGGGGCGAGGTATGACCCAGGTGTGACACTAGTAACTGACAAATCTCTTTCATCCCATGTGTAAGTCTCTTGCTAGAATATCACTTCTTTGACTTGCTAGAGATCTTATTTGTTTTACTGTTTTGCATTTATCTTTTCATGATGCAGTTGTTGAATTGTTCACGGTTTAGTAGCTAAAGTCAGTGACCAAGTAGTTTAGGTTAGGGCAAACAATAACAGTACTTTCAGTCCGGCTTCCTAATTTGACCTGTTCCTGGCGACGGTTGTTTCCTGTCGCTGTTACCGAATTCGCGGAGGTGACCACAACAGGTTGAGGTGAGCCCGTGTCGACTCCATGCTATGTAGTTGCACAAGACTCATTAGGTAACAATTTGACTTTAGACAAGACTTTTGAAAGACTTGCATTAATTTCAATGGTAAATTGTCTAAAAGTGGATTTCTTGCAATTTTATTTAGAGTATGGGATATACAACTATTAGATCATGTGTTCAACCTATGTGGTTAACCATCTTTTAACCTTGTTTTAGTGTGAAAGAGAGGAGGATTGCACTATCGTCAGCCTCATAAGTAACATTTACATTGTGGCTATGCCACATCAACATGTCGTGCTTGGGTGGGGAATACAGTCATTTCAGATTGTGCAGCTGCACATCGATATCTGCGCAGCAGAAAGGCAAAGTTGATAAAGAAAGATCCGATGAACAGCAACCAGTGGCAGGCATGGGGTCCTCCGCTGATCGATCAGAAGTAACATGAGTGGACACCCGGCAAAATACCACACTAAGCAGTATACACAAGGTCAATACGAGAAAGGCTGCAGGCATGGGGTCCTGCAGTCACCAGCCCAAGAATTTTGGTAGCTGAAGGCATAGGGCTATGCTACCTCCAACCCAACGAAAGAAACACAGGTATTTTGTATGGTGGGCATACTAAGAAAAATCTATAAACAAGCATATGAAGTACCATACTACCGAGACTTGATTATGTAAACATTAAACGAAAATTCTTTTATGGAAATGTAAAAGCAACAATTGGCAATTTTATTTCTTTATTAAAATACCAAGGTTCATAAACAATTAGGTAAAGGATTAATTATGAAATTGGTACAATTTTACGCATGTTTGGGAAAGGGGGGGAACAAGTGTGCAAGTATATTTCAGTTTGAAGCTGATGCTGTCCAGAAAGGAAAGAATGCAGATTGTGAGCAGCATCTGTGTGAAACGCCAAATTGTGGTTTGTTCTTTAAATGTTACTAGGAAACTTTGATTCAGTGGTCCCATTTGGTTTGTCATATGTGTTATAGTAAGTGGGGACTAGAATCTTGGGAATAGTGGGAAGAAATAATTTTATCTAGCAGGTGACTGGATGAATGACGACATACAAAATTTGGGTGTGTTGGCTGAGGTCTTCAGCAGTACTGCAGCGTTTGGGAATGGGTACATCGTAAGCCGGTATTATCTGGATTCAGGTAACAAATTTGTAAAAGTCAGTTTTGCATTTTTGTGATTCTAGTAAGTGTTGAAGCTTGGCTAAACCTTAAATTCCTCCTAGTTGTCTTTCTTGTACAAATTTTATTTCAATGTTTAAAAGTCATAAAAGATATAAGGCTATGTATGTGGTGAAAAAGATAACCTTAACAACGTGGGGCATAGTGGAGGGAAAGTTTACTGCAGACATGAAGTCCTGGAGATGGATTCGGCTCCACTCCCACATCTGAGTGCCCCATCCCCCACTTCCTCCCAATTGTCATCAAGAATGCGAGGAATATTTGCAGCATGGCAGATATGGCCTGATGGATCACAAGGTTCTTGAGGTTGAACAAGGTAACACCGCATATCTTGATTTCCTAGATTGTTATATAAAGGAACTTTCTTTTAAACACAAAAACATTTGTATGACATGGATATCTGAGATTGTTGTCGGAGAGATTTTCTTTCTTTTCTATAGACCTCTGTAAAGGGTTGTTATTTTTCCAAAGGAACCAGATCTTCCAGTTCTTGCTCGTAGATGAAATATTTGTTTAAACGTGTTTGTACTATAGAACTTCATGGAAAATGTGCAAGATAAACTTGAGTGGTCAGTCTTCAGAAGCAATATATTTCTGTGCAAATCCTTCACTGCTAATGTAACTTTAATTCATCAGATGCTGTACCTTTTGCATGCATTTATGAATGTGTTGGTTACCAGAGGCAATAAAAGTCCTTTTAATTCTCATTCATTAAGAATGTTGTATCCAGTTGGAATTAATTGCTACCATCGGTAAAGGTTTGGATAGGAGCTAGGCTTTGGGCGTTTAAGAATCTCTGCAGATGCAGCAGGATGCAGGGGAACTTGCACCGAGTTGAAAGGCATACCAGTTGTCGATGGGCATTCCTGGAAGAGGTTCAGAGGAGAAAGTTCAGTATCGGGGCTCGTCTGATATGGGTCACAAGCAGTTTTGTTCCTACAATGGTCAACTTTACCATTCAACAAAGAAGAGGACAGACAAACATAGGTAACATTGTAAGTATCTAAGTGTCAATAGACAGCAGTACTAAGAGAATCTGCTATTAGCTGCTAGGCCCATCATTGGAGCAGATGAAAATATTTCTGGTTTAAATAGCAAGTTGAGTGAACTTTTTTGTAGGATGAAATAAGAAATTGAGAGCTAGAGGTTAGTTTCTGGAGACATAGGTACATTATTTGAGTACAGGCAAAAGCAAAAGTTCCAATCCTTATACTAATTAGTGTAGATGTCTGGCACAATCCAAGGGGTTTTAGATTTATTCTTGTACCACAAGTTACATGAAGCCCAAGGTTAATAAGAAATCCTATTCTTGCCAGTTGAGTTACTCTCATCTGATTTCTTATTACTTGGAGAGTGGAGTCCTCTGAAAGCAGAAGAGAGGTCTAGTTAAGCTGTTCTCAGCTACTCCTTCTAGCAAATGGAGAATGACAGGCAAACTCCAGTAGGTCAAATGTTTGAAGTAGATACTATTCATTTTTAAGTATCAACTAATTGTAAGTTTGTGAATCACTAAGGTCCATAAGAACATAATTTGTTAGTTGAGATCTTGGTATTGAACTGCGTTCTTGCGGAGATTCTGTCAACATGTTCTTATTCCTTAGGCATGCAGAATAGGATGTCAATTATTATAATTTGAGGCTTATATCTGACATCAGATGTGTATTTATAGAACATCTGCCATGTATAGGTTGTCTTATTACAGAAAAAAATAATCCGCTAAAAATAGACAGAAAGGTTTAGAAATTATAGGGATACAGTTTAATAGTGAAATAGGCTGGGGTAAACTCAAGCAGTGGTTTCATGGCTGTCTCTATAGGCCCTTGATATTTCAGTCATGGTATTAAAAATAATGGTGGTGGTGTCTAGTTGTGCATAGCTTCAAATATCCATCCTTAACTTATTGACTGAGATATTTGCTGTTTTAACATGATGTAAATATGTGGGAGGGAGGGAGTTCATTTCTTTAGTATATGCACAGAATTTAAGCCCAAGTTTGAAGGTGGCCTTAGTCTCCGGATTAGCTACAAAGTTGCAGACATCGTATATCTTCCAAGCAACATTTCAGGTATATGCTAATATTAGAAATTAATGTGCAGATTTTGCTTATTTGCCCGTAGTTTAATACATTAGCTGAAAATTTAGTTGCAATTGGGGGGGGGAGGGCGAATTGACATGTTTCTTCTAGTGTATATGCAGAGGGATGGCCCAGCCTGTGACATCCTGTAACTGAAGAAAGCCTACGCTTCTGCCTGTGAAGAATTAAAGAAGGCCTCGATTCCTTTGCTTCTGTTCCTTATATGGCAGGAGGTTTGAGCACAAAAGGATTATAAAAAATGTGATGTCAGTCATGAATATTTATTCATTCTTACCTTTGTCATTTGTGATTGATTTAGTACACAATCTGTAGTGAGAGCCTGCATTCTGTATGTTATGAATACTAGCTTCTGTTTCAAACTACTTTTGATAAGAGACCTTATGAAACTGGTCATTTGCATTGTAAAGACGGTATGTTTTTGTGTGGAGAGCATGGGATTTTCTTCAGTAGGACAGTTGGGTTTTGTGGAGACGAGTAACCTGGTGATTGCTGCCCAAGTGAATGTTCTGTGTTCCTGATTCCGGGCTGACGCTATTGCTGTGTCCCACTTTGCTTGCATCTTGCTTGATTACAGGTAATGTTATTTACCATGTGCTTATATCAACCTGTTATATAATAAGTAAGAATTTGGTTCGTCATTCATATACGAAATGAGAATTTGGTTCGTCATTAATGCAGCGAGCATAATGCCCTCTGGTATAGACATTAAAATATGGAAGGGTTCAAAATGGGGGGGGGGGGGGGGAAGCATTTACTGCTGTAGCATTCACAGAACTCTGAGGGAACATCTCCTTTCCTGTTTATGAAGACCCGATTCTACATCTTCAAAATTTCTTCAAAATCATTGACATCTTGTTACTGCAGAAAAGGTATTTTATATAAATGTTGAAAACCTGTCACTTCTTTGAGAGACCTAATGTGAAAGAAATATTGTAGGCTAATTGTAGTCCTAAATGTAGTTTTACCCTTAAAATGTTTGGGAAAGGGAAAAGGGAAGAGGTCTCTTTTAGTAGGCTGCTGGAGGCGTCCTCTGCTTTGTGATAGTGGATCAGCAGTTGGCATGTGGTTAGACCGAGCAGCTTACTGAAACTACCGCCAAGAGAAACTGAACTCCAACATTGCAACCATCAACAACCATCAGCTCCAATTTTTGAGAGAGGAAGGTAACTGCAGTTGATGGTTCTGCATTTCATTTTACAAGTGAAATCATTCAAATTGCTAGATTTTAATCTAGTCTTGTTTGAAATCAGTGGTAATAAGACAAAAGATAGGGTTATCAAGAAAATGGAGGGGAGGGGGGGGTAGGGACATTCATTATTTTTTATTTACACAGAAGTGTGTCCTGTAAGGATTGCAGGTCTAATACTTCAGGGTGATGGAAATGCTTCTGCTAATGCTTCAGTAAGATCTAAGATCTAAGGTCTATGTATTTTGCTGTATTTGATAAGATTATATTAATTTGAATTGATAGATTTGATACCAGATAGAATTTGAAATCAAGTCAAAGCATTAAAACCTAGATTTTACATCAGATATTAGATTTTATTAGTTTATGGGGTAATCTGATCATACAGTTGGGTTGGGGAAAAGTTTACTTATTTGTAGGTAAGGAGCAGCACAGAGGAAGCCTATCCTTGCACTTTCCATCACACAATTAGTTGGATCACCTAAAGAGCCCAATGGGTCGTCTCCCATTTAAATCTCCATGGATACACCAGTAAAGGTATTGTCTGTCACTGACCAAGCAAATTCTGCATGCTCTGTTTTTAAAACCTGGAAGTGTTGAAATACTCAAAGATGGAGGGGGGAGGGGGGGGATACTTATCATTTTGCATCTTAACAGTTCAGAGGTTGGAGTGACATCACCATGGACTGCCTACGGTTCTACTAGGGATACTGCTCCATTTTGTTGGTAAATGAATGTACAATTGCCTACTCTACATGAACTACTATCACCACCAATGGCTAATTTGTCTATAAATAAATCCTGAATTTAGCATTTAAAGTAGTCAAGAAGATGGGGCTAGGGGGGGGTGGAGATGACTGATCTCAGTTTCAGATAGTGGAGGGAGAGATGGGTGTCCATGAGAAGGTATCATGACTGAACTGAGCTGATGAAGTGGAGCAGTCATGAGCTTGTTAACATTTTGGTGAGTTTCGTCAACTAAATCTCGGATCACAGACTTTATATTTATTCTTGTAGAAAATCTACAATTTTACCATTGACATTCAGTAACATAAAGCCTTCCCTCATATAATTACTGGTGCATTAGCCTTATGTTGAATGCTCTTTCAGGCAATCTTACTCAAGATCTGCTTCAAATTGAGCACCAAACAACTTATTGGAAGTGCACATTCCCTTCAAGATGCTTCAATTTTTCTTGATTCAATAAAAAAAAAAACATGTACATTTTTTTTCTGCATAGCTGTTATATAGTTCATGTTTCATAGGTTATTATGAACTTGTTCATTGTGGCTATAAATTGAATTATATTATTTGTGATTCTGAAATTATCATAATGTATTGTGAAATATATGTCCGTGTAAACATGGAGGAAAGTATCTTCAGTATTTTTGTGGCTCAGGCTTTAAACGTGTGCCACATAAATGCAAAGATGGACACTCTGTTGTAATTCCATGAGTTACAAGAAGAGTGGGAAAGTGGGTGGGATTTTTCCTCCATGTAAAAATTGTTGTTAGACTTGGAGGCATGGATACAACTACTATTTGTTGATTTCTTCTGGCTCGGTAATTTTGGATGTAGTGAGTGATATGGATATATATGTTATGTATTGTGATAAACTGAAGACAAAGTTCATCACATGCTGCATGCAACGGGAACTTCAGTTGAAGATTTGTTATGGAAAACTATGAAGGTTTGTGACCATACCAGCAGTTGAACTTGTTAAAATACTGAGTTATCACTGTTGAGGAAAGTGCATATAATTGCATATAAGTGTGCATGTAATTGTATTACAGCATTTTTGCTCCAACACAAGAATTTCATATATTCCAGGAACCATCTGAAGAAATAGGTTACTGAGCCTTGTGTAACGGGAATATATCAAACACATGATTCTAATTTGGGGTAAGCAACTACTATGACTTTTCTTTTGGAAAGAGATCAAAGATATGTAACAAATTGTTCTTAGTATTAAAATGTTGCTAAAGGTCTTTGTTAGATAACTATGGTCTCGTTATACTTGCAGATTTCGCATAGTATTGAGGCTCGTGAGAAATACAATATATGCCGAGAAGTAGTAACATGCGCAGGGTATTCTGGGAGGCTGTTCATCAGGTAGCATTGAAACTGTATGTGGTTGAGGCTTCAGCGCAGCGATGGTTTGCGTCTGTGACCATTGTTCTGTGGTGAGGGTTCAGCGCGGCAGAGACTGCGCCGTGGTCGAGGGTTCAGCGCGGCAGAGACTGCGCCGTGGTCGAGGGTTCAGCGCGGCAGAGACTGCGCCGTGGTCGAGGGTTCAGCGCGGCAGAGACTGCGCCGTGGTCGAGGGTTCAGCGCGGCAGAGGCTGCGGCGTGAACGAGAGTTCACCGTGGTAGAGGCTACACTTTCAGGAGGTTTCAGCGCGGCTGAGGTTGCGCCGTGAACGAGGTTTCAGCGCGGCAGAGGTTGCGCCTTGGACGAGGTTTCAGCGCGGCAGAGGTTGCGCCGTGGACGAGGTTTCAGCGCGGCAGAGGTTGCGCCGTGGACGAGGTTTCAGCGCGGCAGAGGTTGCGCCGTGGACGAGGTTTCAGCGCGGCAGAGGTTGCGCCGTGGACGAGGTTACAGCGCGGCATATCCTGTGCCGTGGACGAGGTTTCAGCGCGGCATATCCTGTGCCGTGGACGAGGGTTCAGCGCGGCAGAGGCTGTGCCGTGGACGAGGGTTCAGCGCGGCAGATGCTGTGCCTTGGACGAGGGTTCAGCGCGGCAGATGCTGTGCCTTGGACGAGGGTTCAGCGCGGCAGATGCTGTGCCTTGGACGAGGGTCCAGCGCGGCAGATGCTGTGCCTTGGACGAGGGTTCAGCGCGGCAGATGCTGTGCCTTGGACGAGGGTTCAGCGCGGCAGAGGCTGCGCCTTGGACGAGGGTTCAGCGCGGCATAGGCTGCGCCTTGGACGAAGGTTCAGCGCGGCAGATGCTGCGCCTTGGACGAGGGTTCAGCGCGACAGAGGCTGCGCCTTGGACGAGGGTTCAGCGCGGCAGATGCTGCGCCTTGGACGAGGGTTCAGCGCGGCAGAGGCTGCGCCTTGGACGAGGGTTCAGCGCGGCAGAGGCTGCGCCTTGGACGAGGGTTCAGCGCGGACAGAGGCTGCGCCTTGGACGAGGGTTCAGCGCGGCAGAGGCTGCGCCTTGGACGAGGTTTCAGCGCGGCAGAGGCTGCGCCTTGGACGAGGTTTCAGCGCGGCAGAGGCTGCGCCTTGGACGAGGGTTCAGCGCGGCAGATGCTGCGCCTTGGACGAGGGCTCAGCGCGGCAGATGCTGCGCCTTGGACGAGGGTTCAGCGCGGCAGATGCTGCGCCTTGGACGAGGGTTCAGCGCGACAGATGCTGCGCCTTGGACGAGGGTTCAGCGCGGCAGAGGCTGCGCCTTGGACGAGGGTTCAGCGCGGCAGAGGCTGCGCCTTGGACGAGGGTTCAGCGCGGCAGAGGCTGTGCCTTGGACGAGGGTTCAGCGCGGCAGAGGCTGCGCCTTGGACGAGGGTTCAGCGCGACAGAGGCTGCGCCTTGGACGAGGGTTCAGCGCGGCAGAGGCTGCGCCTTGGACGAGGGTTCAGCGCGGCAGAGGCTGCGCCTTGGACGAGGGTTCAGCGCGGCAGATGCTGTGCCTTGGACGAGGGTTCAGCGCGGCAGATGCTGTGCCTTGGACGAGGGTTCAGCGCGGCAGATGCTGTGCCTTAGACGAGGGTTCAGCGCGGCAGATGCTGTGCCTTGGACGAGGGTTCAGCGCGGCAGATGCTGTGCCTTGGACGAGGGTTCAGCGCGGCAGATGCTGTGCCTTAGACGAGGGTTCAGCGCAGCCTCTGGTGTACCTTGCAGGAGGCTTCAATGCGGGAGAAGCTGCGCCGTGATCGACAATATTTTACGCAAAGTCAAAGGCATTGATGCAGCTCGCAACCTTAGAGGCAATAATAACAGACGTAGCACAGGTGTCTCCGCACAAAGAACATATCGAGGGTTATTGGTGAAGTATAGTGTATTTTATTATCTGCAAATAATGCTCCTATAATTTTTCGAGCAGTATCTGGTATGTGTGATTATACATTTTACTGCTTTAGTTATTTAGCCATTTGATTTTCTCTTGCGTTGTAGATTATCAGACTTAAAATCTTTCGGAGATATTCTAGTTGGCCTGTTGTCAAACAGGTTGATGCCGGATAATTCCTGAGAGCGAGGTTTTTACAAGTAACGGACCCAAAGGCAAGGCCGCTGCTGGAAGGTGGGGTCTTGAGGGCCAGGTCGCTCAGCTAGGTGGTGGTCGCTCATCCAGATGGAACGGTCCCAAGGGCGAGGCCGCTCATCCAGATGGAACGGTCCCAAGGGCGAGGCCGCTCATCCAGATGGAACGGTCCCAAGGGCGAGGCCGCTCATCCAGATGGAACGGTCCCGAGGGCGAGGTCGCTCATCCAGATGGAACGGGCCCGAGGGCGAGGTCGCTCATCCAGATGGAACGGTCCCGAGGGCGAGGCCGCTCATCCAGATGGAACGGTCCCGAGGGCGAGGTCGCTCATCCAGATGGAACGGTCCCGAGGGCGAGGTCGCTCATCCAGATGGAACGGTCCCGAGGGCGAGGTCGCTCATCCAGATGGAACGGTCCCGAGGGCGAGGTCGCTCATCCAGATGGAACGGTCCCGAGGGCGAGGTCGCTCATCCAGATGGAACGGTCCCGAGGGCGAGGTCGCTCATCCAGATGGAACGGTCCCGAGGGCGAGGTCGCTCATCCAGATGGAACGGTCCCGAGGGCGAGGTCGCTCATCCAGATGGAACGGTCCCGAGGGCGAGGTCGCTCATCCAGATGGAACGGTCCCGAGGGCGAGGTCGCTCATCCAGATGGAACGGTCCCGAGGGCGAGGTCGCTCATCCAGATGGAACGGTCCCGAGGGCGAGGTCGCTCATCCAGATGGAACGGTCCCAAGGGCGAGGTCGCTCATCCAGATGGAACGGTCCCAAGGGCGAGGTCGCTCATCCAGATGGAACGGTCCCGAGGGCGAGGTCGCTCATCCAGATGGAACGGTCCCGGGGCGAGGTCACTCATCCAGATGGAACGGTCCCGAGGGCGAAGTTGCTTTTCCAGAAGGAGTGGTTCCGAGGGCTAGGTTTCTCTTCCAGAAGGAGCGGTCCCGAGGACGAGGTCGCTCTTCCACAAGGAGCGGTCCCGAGGGCGAAATCGTTCTTCCCAGAAGGAGCGTGTCCCAAGGGCGAGTCGCTCATTCCAGAAGGAGCTGTCCCCGAGGGAGAATCCCTTTTCCAGAAGGAGTTGTCCCGAGGACGAGGTCGCTCATCCAGAAGGAGTTGTCCCGAGGACGAGGTCGCTCATCCAGAAGGAGCTGTCCCGAGGACGAGGTTGCTCATCCAGATGGAACGGACCCCAGAGCGAGGTCGCTTTTCCAGAAAGAGCGGTCCCGGGGCGAGGATGCTCATCCAGATGGAACGGTCCCGAGGGCGAAGTCCCATTTCCAGAAGGAGCGGTCCCGAGGGCTAGGTATCTCTTTCAGAAGGAGCGGTCCCGAGGGCTAGGTATCTCTTCCAGAAGGAGCTGTCCCGAGGGCTAGGTATCTCTTCCAGAAGGAGCTGTCCCAAAGGCGAGGTCGCTCATCCAGAAGGAGCTGTCCCAAGGGCGAGGTCGCTCATCCAGAAGGAGCTGTCCCAAGGGCGAGGTCGCTCATCCAGAAGGAGCTGTCCAAAGGGCGAGGTCGCTCATCCAGAAGGAGCTGTCCAAAGGGCGAGGTCGCTTTTCCAGAAGGAGCTGTCCCAAGGGCGAGTTCGCTCATCCAGAAGGAGCTGTCTCAAGGACGAGGTCGCTCATCCAGAAGGAGCTGTCCCAAGGGCGAGTTCGCTCATCCAGAAGGAGCTGTCCCAAGGGCGAGGTCGCTCATCCATAAGGAGCTGTCCCAAGGGCGAGGTCGCTCATCCAGAAGGAGCTGTCGCAGGGGCGAGGTCGCTCATCCAGAAGGAGCTGTCGCAGGGGCGAGGTCGCTCATCCAGAAGGAGCTGTCGCAGGGGCGAGGTCGCTCATCCAGAAGGAGCTGTCGCAGGGGCGAGGTCGCTCATCCAGAAGGAGCTGTCGCAGGGGCGAGGTCGCTCATCCAGAAGGAGCTGTCCCAAGGGCGAGGTCGCTCATCCAGAAGGAGCTGTCCCAAGGGCGAGGTCGCTCATCCAGAAGGAGCTGTCCCAAGGGCGAGGTCGCTCATCCAGAAGGAGCTGTCCCAAGGGCGAGGTCGCTCATCCAGAAGGAGCTGTCCCAAGGGCGAGGTCGCTCATCCAGAAGGAGCTGTCCCAAGGGCGAGGTCGCTCATCCAGAAGGAGCTGTCCCAAGGGCGAGGTCGCTCATCCAGAAGGAGCTGTCCCAAGGGCGAGGTCGCTCATCCAGAAGGAGCTGTCCCAAGGGCGAGGTCGCTCATCCAGAAGGAGCTGTCCCAAGGGCGAGGTCGCTCATCCAGAAGGAGCTGTCCCAAGGGCGAGGTCGCTCATCCAGAAGGAGCTGTCCCAAGGGCGAGGTCGCTCATCCAGAAGGAGCTGTCCCAAGGGCGAGGTCGCTCATCCAGAAGGAGCTGTCCCAAGGGCGAGGTCGCTCATCCAGAAGGAGCTGTCCCAAGGGCGAGGTCGCTCATCCAGAAGGAGCTGTCCCAAGGGCGAGGTCGCTCATCCAGAAGGAGCTGTCCCAAGGGCGAGGTCGCTCATCCAGAAGGAGCTGTCGCAGGGGCGAGGTCGCTCATCCAGAAGGAGCTGTCGCAGGGGCGAGGTCGCTCTTCCAGAAGGAGCTGTCCGAAGGGCGAGGTCGCTCATCCATAAGGAGCTGTCTCAAGGACGAGGTCGCTCATCCAGGAGGACCGGTTTCAAGGGCAAATGAATTGGTCCATGAGGGTGAGTTTGCAGCCAGATGTATCGTTTCCAGACTTTGGGACATGAAGCCTATCGAAACAAAAAGTAAACATTTTATGGGGAAAAAAATGAAGAGAAGAAGAATCTAGGACGAATCTTTGGGGGTGAGACCCGTATAAAATTTTCATTGAAGTGCTTTAAAGTAGTGGCTGCCACCCACCAGTGATAATATATACCATCGTTTTCATCTGCTTAGCAGGAAATAGAAAACAGGCTAGACATGATAAAGCAAGTAGTTAACATTATTAGAAAGGGTTGTATGAATATTGTTCCAGTGAATATTAAGTGAAGTATTAATTTTTATACAAGAGGATCTTCAAGAACAAAAGTCTCTTCGTCAGTATAAGATAAACATTGGAAGTCAATTGAAATGGTTGGCGCAAGAAACCGAATCATGATCGTTTTCATTGTGGTCATCATTGTCCTAGGGTGAATTTGATATGCATATTTTAGTGGGTAGAAACTACGTTTTCAATCTTCTTGTGTCAACGTTAATGAAAGATGGGGAAGAGAATCGTGGTTGGGATGAAAACGCTCTTAAACAGGATGACAGGATGTGAATTTGCTTGCGGAGAGGTCAGGATAATATGGAGGTCATCGTGTTCATTCTGGCGGTGGTAAGGATCCTCGAAGAACTAAAGCCTTTGTCCTTTTGTATCGAAAGAAAACATTTGTGTGGAATATTTTTGGTCTCTCTTTCAAGAATAGATAATAGATGGCGTGCCTCGAAAACGTTCCTTCTCCAGTTGATCTTGGTTGCCATCATGGGAAAGAGGAAGCAGGTTGGCGTCGATATCGGGAAGACGCAGGCCATCATCGTCGTTGCCTTGGGAGGAAGAGAAAGCGGTTAATACTTGTAGCCATTTTGAGGAAGAGGTGGAGGTGTCATCATGGGAGAGAGAACTGGGTTATGTTCATCGTTGGAAAAAGGAAGCGGGTTGTCACCGGATTAGGCAGAAGAATGGGAAGAGGTTGTCGTCATTGCCCTGAAGAAAAACGTCGCGATGCGTCCTCGTTATTGACATCGGAAGGAGTGTCATCTTCACCAGTACGGCAATCGACGGTCGACGACGTTGTCAGGTAATTCTTGGTCAAAGATTATACTTTGATTTAAGTCATTTTAGATTTTTCCTTTTTTTTTTTTTAGTATATCCACATAGAATCTAATTTCTTTGTTCGGCAGAATAGTGCCCCAATTGCCCTCGCCATCTATTAACAGTACTACATGCTTAACTGACCCTTTATACTCGGAGATTATGTAAGTAAAAATCCTTAACCTATATCGCGGATTTATATTTCTAGAATAAAGCACGAGGAAGAAAATAGCGCAGGGGTGGTCGTCGTCGTCGGGAAGAGAGAAGAGGACGTGGGTCGTCGTCGTCGGGAAGAGAGAAGAGGACGTGGGTCGTCGTCGTCGGGAAGAGAGAAGAGGACATAGGTCGTCGTCGGGAAGAGAGAAGAGGACGTGGGTCGTCGTCGTCGGGAAGAGAGAAGAGGACATAGGTCGTCGTCGGGAAGAGAGAAGAGGACGTGGGTCGTCGTCGTCGGGAAGAGAGAAGAGGACGTGGGTCGTCGTCGTCGGGAAGAGAGAAGAGGACGTGGGTCGTCGTCGTCGGGAAGAGAGAAGAGGACGTGGGTCGTCGTCGTCGGGAAGAGAGAAGAGGACGTGGGTGGTCGTCGGGAGAGAGAAGAGGACGTGGGTCATCGTCGTCGTCGGGAAGAGAAGAGGACGTGGGTCATCGTCGTCGTCGGGAAGAGAGAAGAGGACGTGGGTCATCGTCGTCGTCGGGAAGAGAGAAGAGGACGTGGTGGTCGTCGTCGTCGTCGGGAAGAGAGAAGAGGACGTGGGTGGTCGTCGTCGTCGGGAAGAGAGAAGAGGACGTGGGTCGGTCGTCGTCGTCGGGAAGAGAGAAGAGGACGTGGGTGGTCGTCGTCGTCGGGAAGAGAGAAGAGGACGTGGGTGGTCGTCGTCGTCTGGAAGAGAGAAGAGGACGTGGGTGGTCGTCGTCGTCGTCGGGAAGAGAGAAGAGGACGTGGGTGGTCGTCGTCGTCTGGAAGAGAGAAGAGGACGTGGGGTCGTCGTCGGGAAGAGAAGAGGACGTGGGTCGTCGTCGGGAAGAGAAGAGGACGTGGGTCGTCGTCGTCGTCGTCGGGAAGAGAGAAGAGGATGTGGGTCGTCGTCGTCGGGAAGAGAGAAGAGGACGTGGGTCGTCGTCGTCGGGAAGAGAGAAGAGGACGTGGGTCGTCGTCGTCGGGAAGAGAGAAGAGGACGTGGGTCATCGTCGTCGTCGGGAAGAGAGAAGAGGACGTGGGTCGTCGTCGTCGGGAAGAGAGAAGAGGACGTGGGTCGTCGTCGTCGGGAAGAGAGAAGAGGACTTGGGTCGTCGTCGTCGTCGTCTGGAAGAGAGAAGAGGACGTGGGTCGTCGTCGTCGGGAAAAGAGAAGAGGACTTGGGTCGTCGTCGTCGTCGTCGTCGGGAAGAGAGAAGAGGACGTGGGTCATCGTCGTCGTCGTCGGGAAGAAAGTAGAGGACGTGGGTCATCGTCATCGTCGTCGGGAAGAGAGAAGAGGACGTGGGTCGTCGTCGTCGGGAAGAGCGAAGAGGACGTGGGTCGTCGCCGGGAAGAGAGAAGAGGACGTGGGTCGTCGTCGTCGTCGGGAAGAGAGAAGAGGACGTGTGTCATCGTCGTCGTCGGGAAAGAGAGAAGAGGACGTGGGTCATCGTCGTCGTCGTCTGGAAGAGAGAGGAGGACGTGGGTCATCGTCGTCGTCGTCTGGAAGAGAAAAGAGGACGTGTGTCATCGTCGTCGTCGGGAAAGAGAGAAGAGGACGTGGGTCATCGTCGTCGTCGTCTGGAAGAGAGAGGAGGATGTGGGTCATCGTCGTCGTCGTCTGGAAGAGAAAAGAGGACGTGGGTCTTCGTCGTCTGGAAGAGAGAAGAGGACGTGGGTCGTCGTCTGGAAGAGAGAAGAGGACGTGGGTCGTCGTCTGGAAGAGAGAAGAGGACGTGGTCGGAAGAGGACGCACATTGCCGTCGTCGTCGTCGTCGCCGCCGGGAAGAGACGAGGACGCGCATTGCCGTCGTCGTCGTCGTCGTCGGGAAGAGAGAAGAGGACGCGCATTGCCGTCGTCGTCGTCGTCGTCGCCGCCGGGAAGAGACGAGGACGCGCATTGCCGTCGTCGTCGTCGTCGCCGGGAAGAGAAGAGGACGCGCATTGCCGTCGTCGTCGTCGTCGTCGTCGTCGGGAAGAGAAGAGGACGCGCATTGCCGTCGTCGTCGTCGTCGTCGTCGTCGTCGCCGTCGCCGGGAAGAGAAGAGGACGTGGGTCGTCGCCGGGAAGAGAAGAGGACTTGCATTGCCGTCGTCGCCGTTGTCGTCGTCGCCGGAGAAGAAGAGGACGTGGTGGTCGTCGTCGTCGTCGGGAAGAGAGAAGAGGACGTGGGTGGTCGTCGTCGTCGTCGTCGTCGGGAAGAGGAGAAGAGGACGTGGGTGGTCGTCGTCGTCGGGAAGAGAGAAGAGGACGTGGGTGGTCGTCGTCGTCGTCGTCTGGAAGAGAGAAGAGGACGTGGGTGGTCGTCGTCGTCGTCGGGAAGAGAGAAGAGGACGTGGGTGGTCGTCGTCGTCGGGAAGAGGAGAAGAGGACGTGGGTCGTCGTCGGGAAGAGAGAAGAGGAACGTGGGTCGTCGTCGTCGTCGTCGTCTGGAGAGAGAAGAGGACGTGGGTCGTCGTCGTCATCGTCTGGAAGAGAGAAGAGGACGTGGGTGGTCGTCGTCGTCGTCGTCGTCGGGAAGAGAGAGAGACGTGGGTCGTCGTCGGGAAAGAGAAGAGGACTTGGTCGTCGTCGTCGTCGTCGTGAAGAGAGAAGAGGACGTTGGGTCGTCGTCGTCGTCGTCGTCGGGAGAGAGAAGAGGACGTGGGTTCGTCGTCGTCGGGAGAGAGAAGAGGACGTGGGTCCATCGTCGTCGTCGTCCGGGAAGAGAGAAGAGGACGTGGTCGTCGTCGTCGGGAAGAGAGAGAAGAGGACTGGGTCGTCGTCGTCGGGAAGAGAGAAGAGGACGTGGGTCCGTCGTCGTCGGGAAGAGAAGAGGACTTGGGTCGTCGTCGTCGTCGTCGTCGTCGGGAAGAAGAGAAGAGGACGCGGGTCGTCGTCGTCGTCCGTCGTCGGGAAGAGAGAAGGAGGACGTGGGTCATCGTCGTCGTCGTCGGGAATAGAGAAGAGGACGTGGGTGTCGTCGTCGGGAAGAGAGAAGAGGACGTGGGTGGTCGTCGTCGTCGGAAGAGAGAAGAGGACGTGGGTCGTCGTCGTCGTCGTCGGGAAGAGGAAGAGGACGTGGGTCCATCGTCGTCGTCGTCTGGAAGAGAGAGGAGGACGTGGGTCATCGTCGTCGTCGTCGTCTGGAAGAGAAAAGAGGACGTGTGTCATCGTCGTCGTCGGGAAGAGAGAAGAGGACGTGGGTCATCGTCGTCGTCGTCGTCTGGAAGAGAGAAGAGGACGTGGGTCCATCGTCGTCGTCGTCTGGAAGAGAAAAGAGGACGTGGGTCTTCGTCGTCTGGAAGAGAGAAGAGGACGTGGGTCGTCGTCTGGAAGAGAGAAGAGGACGTGGGTCGTCGTCTGGAAGAGAGAAGAGGACGTGGGTGGTCGTCGTTGTCGTCGTCGGGAAGAGAGAAGAGGACGTGGGTCGTCATCGTTGTCGTCGGGAAGAGAGAAGAGGACGCGGGTCGTCGTCGTCGCCATCGGGAAGAGAGAAGAGGACGCGGGTCATCGTCATCGCCGTCGCCATCGGGAAGAGAGAAGAGGACGTGGGTCATCGTCGTCGCCGTCGCCGGGAAGAGAAGAGGACGCGCATCGCCGCCGTCGTCATCGCCGGGAAGAGAAGAGGACGCACATTGCCGTCGTCGTCATCGTCGCCGGGAAGAGACGAGGACGCGCATTGCCGTCGTCGTCGTCGCCGCCGGGAAGAGACGAGGACGCGCATTGCCGTCGTCGTCGTCGCCGCCGGGAAGAGACGAGGACGCGCATTGCCGTCGTCGTCGTCGTCGCCGGGAAGAGAAGAGGACGCGCATTGCCGTCGTCGTCGCCGTCGCCGGGAAGAGAAGAGGACGCGCATCGCCGCCGTCGTCATCGTCGTCACCATCGCCGGGAAGAGAAGAGGACTTGCATTGCCGTCGTCGCCGTTGTCGTCGTCGCCGGAGAAGAAGAGGACATTGGTCGTCGTCGTCATCGTGGAGAAGAGAGAAGAGGACGTGGGTCGTCATCGTCATCGTGGAGAAGAGGGAAGAGGACGTGGGTCGTCATCGTCATCGTGGAGAAGAGAGAAGAGGACGTGGGTCGTCATCGTCATCGTGGAGAAGAGAGAAGAGGACGCGGGTCGTCATCGTCATCGTGGAGAAGAGAGAAGAGGACGTGGGACGTCATCGTCATCGTGGAGAAGAGGGAAGAGGACGTGGGTCGTCATCGTGGAGAAGAGAGAAGCGGACGTGGGTCGTCATCGTCATCGTAAAGAAGAGAGAAGAGGACGTGGGTCGTCGTCGTCATCGGTGAGAAGAGAGAAGAGGACGTGAGTCGTCATCGTCATCGTGAAGAAGAAAGAAGAGGACGTGGGTCGTCGTCATCTGGAAAAGCTAAGAGGATTTGAATCGTCGTCCTCGCCATTGGGAAGGGATAATAGGATTGTAGATGTGAATGACCGTCCTTGTCGTCGTCGGTAAGGGGAGATGGACTTGAATCGCCGTTGTTGTCGTCGTCGGTAAAGAGGAAAAGCTTGAATCGCCGTTATCGTCGGCAAGGGATGGAGAGAGAGGATGTCTTTTTCCACGTTGTCGATAAGAAATTGGTAGACGTTGATCGCCATCGTAGGGAATGTAGAAGATTGCTGTCGTCGTTGGTATAGGAGGAGAGGACGTGGGCTGCTGTTGTTTTATTTTTTATTATTAGGAAAGTATTCCGACGTGAGAATCGTTAGAACATGAAAAAATCAATGGAAAGTGTCGACTGACTAGGGAAATGCAGAACGTTTCAATAAAAGCAACACCTACCGCTACCAGGTGCAAGTAGTGGTTTTCCCTATGGCAATAAGGATTTCTTTTCAGTTTAGTTTTATACCAGATTAGTACGTGGAGAGAAATTATTAGGTGTTCTGCTAGATTATTGTATGAGAATTCCGTTTCGCTTTGGAAATTTTGCATTGGTGAGGAGTTCATAAAGGAGTATTATTATTTAAATGTATACTTCTTGTGTGGTTGGCAGTACTTTATCAATGGTGGGACACCGCTATTATCTCAGCTCTGCAAATGATCGATAAGAAAGTATAGAAAATCAGTTTAGTCGCCGCTCCCTTCAAAGGTTGTTACTCATCATCGTTTTGATTGCTGCTAAGCTGTTGCCGGTCATCATAGGTTCTCGTAGTGGTTGCGGTTGCAGACCGAATGCTTCTGTGGCCCCTTATATATTACCACGTCGTTAGAATGCTGTGGTGGCCACTCGTCTTCAGTAGAGAAAACTTGCTATATTACATATAGAACTGTGGCTCGGCTCTGAAGTGGCCGTTACTGATCACATATGGAATGCTATGGTGGCCACTACCGATCATCACATCTTGAATACTGGATCAAAAAGCGGCGCTGTCTGTGAATTACTCTGTCTACGCTTCATGTCTGGGGTGCTGGTCGCCGTCTTTGAGGAGGGAGTTGGAACAGCGCCTTGACCGTCTGCAAGTCCGATTACGACCCGAAGAATTCTGGCTGTCTGCATTCTGTCAACAAATGTAAAAAGGTGAAAACTCTAATAAAGGTAAGGTTAATGTATCCTTCCATATTTAAGGGTAAGTATACACTGTTACTTTCTGATGTATTTTCCAAAGAAAAGTAGAGCGAGATGTAGCCTACTAAACATATTAGTATGTGGATCTTCTCTACTTTTACTAAAGTGATTTTTTTTTTTCTTTTTTCCCCTCAAAGTTTGAAGCGTTACAGTAATTTTACACTTTCACTTACATTTCAACTGTTCATTCATCATATGCTTTCACCCAAATTCACCAATTCCAGGTTCCCCCTTTTGGCTTGATTGTTGTGGCTGTGGGTCGAGCGAGCCAGACACTTTCCTTGGCAGTAGAATGTATCGGGGTTACAAGCGGCAGCATCTGTAGGCCTTGGACGGGACAAGACGAAGCACCAGTAGACATAGCAGACTCGGCAGAAGGGGTCAAGAGGCGCGAAAGTTAATGTTTCACATCGGCAGGCAAACAGTTTACGGAAAGGATAGGTGACGAGGGAT